TCTTATTCTCATTTCCTCGCTCAGCGCTTCAACAATGAGACTGATTCACTACACTTCTTCAGCACATTGGCCACTCGACTATATGACCCCGTTATTTGTGCGGTGATCGTCAGGCTCTATCTAATACTACGAGTCATCAGCGAAAACAACTCAAATAGCTGCATTTTTCCAAGACAGACTTGAATTGAATGGTTGGAAGGTCAACTCGTATTGCAGGAAGCACTTGAGCAAAAGAATGTGCCCCCGCTGCAACATTAATAGTACAAATATTACTGTACATGCCAAGCATTGTCTTCGAGAACAAATCTGATCAATTTGCCGAACAGCAGACAACTACTATACAAGAGATAATTCCTACAACGTTAACAAATGCAACCGCGATAGAAGGGAATCGAAAATCAACAACATGTAAATCTGTACAAGACAAAAGCAATGGGACATAGAACTACACACCAATGTGAATGAAAACAATCCTCTGCTCGAGCGGCACCAACTTCTTCACCCCATGCGTAGCATAATTGAGTGCTTTTGCTGCCTTCGTACAGTCCAAGACACCATCCTTCAAATCCTTGAACATATTCTCGTAGAACACTTCAACAACGTGCTTGGCGACTTCGTCATCGACCACCCACAGCGTGCCAATCACACTCTTGAACCCTGAAAACTGTAGGCCAGCTGCGAGGTGGATGACCTCATCGGGCGTCTCTTCATCGCCGACGGCGGTATGACACGCCGATAAGAATGCGAATTCAGCTTGCGGAGTGTCATTCTCCATGATGTCAAGGAGGGTGAGAGGTTTGTCTCTCATGGCAAACCGTGAATTGTAAGGTTGCTCACGGTCCTGCTTGCCGTGACAAGCCAGGTGCACCCAGGTGTTGCGTTGCAAAGCATCGAGTGCACCGGCCTGTGTAGCTTCTCCTCCCGAAAGACTGGTGAACTTGACATTGGGGGGAAGGAGTTTATGGACGAGCTCGAGCTCACTGTCAACAGTGGCGAGCGCCGTGCCTTGCCCTGCGCCTGGTTGACTCTGCCCAATCGCCACAACCGATGGAGTTGCACGCGGCGTCGTCTTCATCGCCTGTCGAGATCTGATGAGAGCCGAAAGTGTGGGGGTGTAAGAGCAAACATAAATATCCTCGAGGGATAGTTCCCGCCCACTTCTGTCTGCTTTCGTTCGAGAGGGATGAGCTGCGTGAAGAGGAATGGAGGTAAATGCTGCAGTCGGACATAGCCAGATTCGAGAGCGGGGCTTGACTTTGAGATCATGCCCGAGTAGTGCCTTGACGATAGGTAGCATGATCTCATCCCATACCTTCCGCAAGAGTACTATCAGGTCTGTCCTTGACTCTGTTTGGCCCATCAGCGATGTATGCCGTATTGCCATTGTGAAGTCAGTCTTTGAGCTTCGCGAGATCTGCGAGAGTGAGAGAAGGGAAGGGAACATGGTGCGGCTGTCCTGATGTCGGGACAATGAGGGCATTGCACGAGTATTTGCTCGCGATAAGGATGACTGGGCCATCACTCGCTGCCGCTTGCAAGTCTTCATATGATGCAGGGAGGAGGAACCGCGAGAAACCTTGAATATTGCGAACCTCCGCAACCGTAGCTTCCCATTCTGTCATAATTTTCCTGTACTCTATTGCTGCCCGGTCAGCAGCACCTCGATCTGCGCTACCTGCAGAACCTTGAGCATCAGACAGGCACTTGTTGAGCTCCGTGAGTTTGTGAGCTAGGGCCTGACTTGCAGACTGGAGGTCATCTAGTGGAGTCCTGAGCCGAGACGCCAGCGACCATTGTTGGCCGCGACCCTGCTCCCCGAGTTCAACCGCTTGTCGCAGATCATTTTGACGAACAGCACATGAAGCTGCATCTACTGGCAGTGATTGTGCGCCGTGAAATGCAGTTGCAGCATTGCGCCGCGAGATAATTGAGGACCGCGTCATTACATGGTTGTCAAACAGATCCAAACATGTTCGGTATGCTTCGAGGGCAGATCCATGTTGATAGATCTCTGCTTGACGAGCCCAATCAATAGCCTCTTTGATGCGTTTTGGGAATCCTTGAGTGGGGTGCATTGATGCCAATCTGAAGTTTTCAACTGCGAGTGACAAATCAGCCACATTGCATTGCAGCCGGTAACGAGACAGATAGGCCTCCTGCAGCCACATGTAGCTGTAGTACCTATCTGGGTGGAGTGGTGGCAAAGCCGCCAATGATTCTTGGCAGAGCTCAATGGCCTCCTCAACATCTTCAATGTTCTGAGTCCTCGTGAAACGAGAGCAGAGTGCCGAGCTCAAATTGAAAAGAGTTCTATGGTGCTGTGGATCATCATGCCGCCTTAACCGAATTGATTCACGGTACAACTCGATGGCCTCGTCAAGATCCTCGTTGGCATGTGATTTGCCATATCTGGTTTTGAGCACGAGGGCAAGGTTGGAAAGTGTGGTGTCACGATTTTGATGCCCAGGTGGGCGCAATGTCAGTGCCTCGCGATAGAGACTGATAGCTCTGTGAATGTCTTCTACCTCACCACGTTGCTTGAACGGTCGAGGAGGGCGCCCCCTAGGCTGTCCAATGATGAATCACGAGATTCATGCCCAACAGGGCTCAGGCACAGTGCTTCATCGTACAGAGAGATGGCCTCGTTAAGGTCATCAGATTTGCCCTGGTGATGGAAGCGGTGGCAGTGGAGTGAGACAGCTAGGTTATTCAAGTAGGCACCACGATCAGAATGTCCCCCGGGACATAGAGACACAGCTTCACGACCAAGTTGTATACTCTCGTCTATATCATCAATGCAGCCGCTTTGTTGAAAGCGTAAGGAGAGTGCGCCTGAAAGATTTTGGAGTGCCCTGTGATGGTGTTGATGGCCCTGAGGACAGAACTCGAATACGATTCGTCGAAGGCGGATGCCTTCATCAGATGCGTCTATCGGAAGATTGTTGCATGTGCGGATAACATTATTCACACCACTTGCCACGGTGGTCCGAAGATATGTGCCCTCTGGGCAGAGAGGTAGTAGCTCAAGGGAGATTTGAGCAGATTCGCGGATGTCGACAGCGGCAGCCTCCTTGCTGTGGCGCCAGGTCAATGCTTCAAGGAGATGGTACAGATATGATGGATGATCGGGGTGGCCCTGCGGACGCAATGCAAGAGCGTCGCGGAATAGACACGTAGTAGAGTCGATGTCTTGACGATCCTTGCAAATGTACCCTAGAAGACGTGCCCAAGCGAAGTTGGTCAGTGCAGCTGCGCGGTCAGGATGGCCGACCGGACACCGCTCTAGAACTGACCCATAATGCTCCACAGCATCGTTCAGATCAGAGACCCTCTTGCTTGTCATGTATTCACCAAATTTTGTGTGACCCGCATCCGTGTCTCGAGCGATCTCGCGGTCAACGATGGACTACAGTTTGCGATCTGTCAGTAGGAGTTGACAGTGCAAAGGCTGGAGTCACTCACGTTCAACAGTTCACCGTCGTTGTTTCCGCAACCATTCACAGCAGCGGCCTTCATTGTGACAGATGGGCGGACACCGCGAACAAGTGGGAAGGACAGTTCTATGACACATGAGTAGATATGCACGAATGAGAAGCAGGTTACTCACCGAAAGGCTCATCTCCGTGACCGAGCAGTTCACCCCAGGATATTTCAAGTTTTCCAATAAGTTCTCCATTGCCTAGCATCCGACTGAGCTCCAAGGATGCCCTGATCTCAACCGATGCTTGAGGTGACACATGTGATGGTCTACAAACAAAGGATCAGTTCTCAAAATCGGGCCTGAAAGGATTGGCTTACAGGTTCACGGTATCGCCCCACGCTACAGAACTGTTGGATGATGGGACTCGAATGGCTGATTCCCAGAGTCTCGTCTGGTCGAGTTTAATGGACACGTAGATGCCTGCAGGTATACGCTCGGAAAGGACACAAAGGTTTTTTCCGCTGATGACTGTAGATATAGCGTAAAGGTCAGAAAATGGATACCAAGTTGATATAAAGTGACCTACCTTCGAGTCTGATGCATTGGCCTTCGAAGCTACCAGCCATGATGGCGCAAACGACAAGGGACGCGGAGGATCAAGGATGGGCTGAGTGGCCCAGTGGGCGGAATGAGCGATAGGACAAGACGGAGGGTAGGGATGGGGCATCATGTCGCACGTGTATTGATGAGTGTTCGGCAGAATCGGCATGATAGACGCTGGTGCTGATTCCATTAAGCGCCGAGATGAAGAGATGAGACTTAGAGCAGCGGGAGAGCCTGTGGTAAAGAAGTGGGCGATGACATGGTCAGTAATCAGCGAAAGTGGCTAACCATGACCCAGGCTGCTGGTGATCAGTCAGCTGGAACAGACATGTGCTGACCCGGCCTTACAACTCTCGTATCACTCATAAGCCTCATTCAGTACGCTGCAATGGAATAGATAGAAACCATTGTATTTCGCAGTGTGTACAACATTAGCAAAGTGGTGAAGACGATAGAAGTCTGCAGTCGCAAAAAAAAGTAGATTCAAGTCAATACGAGTTGGACTGAGTTGATGAGAGAGTCATGAAAACAAAAGCGACGGCGGTGCTGGAATTGTGTATGATCTGCTCCCGATCGATCGAATATCCTAATCAAGCCAAAACTTACAGACCCGGAGATAAGCTTGTTTTTAACCGTGACGTCCATGCCGAGCTGACTGACCATGGAGAGCACCTCTCGATGAATCTCCATGTCGCAATTCTTGAGAACTACAGCTGTTATAATCTTCCCCGTTTCGACGTCCCACAACCTCACTTTCCCATCATCTCTTTCACCTGCAACACTCTCGCTGTTCGGAGACAATGCACTCTTACTGCCCCGACTGCTGTGAGACCTTCGACATTTTTCCCGACACACACCCAGGAAGTCTATGGTCGATTATGCAAAGATTTCCCCTACGCACGCGCTGCCTTTCTCTCACATGCAGCATTCTGTAGTGCTCATCTTTTGACGGAGGTTCAGGCCTCATCGACGGATCATCGATCGATAACTTACCGACATGAAGGAGTCACTCGGGCATCAAGCGACACTTCCCAATAATGAAGTAGCCTTGATCTGTGGATTATGTTGCAGGTAAGCATTGTATCAGAACACTGACCATTTGCTGACTCTTTCCAGCGAATGAGGTCGACGAGACCAGCGGATAACGTTGTCCTGATGGCCCTGATTTATTTCAATAAGGTGGCCGTGGATGGGCTACTGGAACACTTTTTGCGATAACTGGTTCCAGCGGCGTCTCCGTATGATTAGCTGCGGGAAACTAAATTGTTGATACTAGACGAGTGGAAGAGTGGATTGCGATTCACGATGGCCGGCCTTACGGACGACGCAAAGCGCTCTATTTTTTGGCGAGGTACTTCGTTAGCACCACTTGTTGATGATTGTACGTGCCCCAGGTCTTTGCAAGCATGTTGCATAACATGAACGATTACGATGAAGACGGAGCTAAACCTAGGTCTTCGACGCACTCATAGACTTTCAAAGGACTTGGGAGTGGGTGGGGGTTCGCATGGGCCTGACGCACGAATGCGGTACTACAAGGTGATACATCCTCGCTGTACGAGTTCATGTACTTCATCGAGAATGAAATTTCAAGGTGTTTCCAACGACATTGCGTGATATTTGGAGGAGATTCAAAACATATGTTTTATTGTGGTGGGGCGTCATGTTCACCTAGCCCTTCGCTAGGAAAGTGTGGTATCACGTTCTTGATGCCCAGGTGGGCGCAATGTCAGTGCCTCGTGACGGAGGCTGGTAGCTGTGTTGATGTATTCTACCTCACCGCGTTGCTTGAAACGGTCAAGGAGGGCGCCCCATTGTAGATCCCGAGATTTATGCCCAACAGGGCTCAGGCACAGTGCTTCTTCGTACAGAGAGACGGCCTCGTCGAGGTCATCAGATTTGTCCTGGTGACGGAAGCGGTAGTAGCGGAGTGAGACAGCCAAGTTATTCAAGTAGACACCACGATCAGGATGTCCCTCGGGACACAGAGAAACAGCTTCACGACCAAGTTGTGTGCTCTCATCTATATCAACAATGCTCCCACATTACCCAAAATGTATACCGAGTGCCCATGAAAGCTTATAGAGGGAGCTGGGACGGTATTCATGGCCCAAAGGACAGAGCTCGAGTACGATTCGTCGAAGGTGGATGCCTTCATCGGATGCGTCTATCGGAAGATTGTTGCATGTGCGGATTACATAATCCATACCACTTGCCCCTGCCACGATGGTCCGAAGATATGTGCCTTCTGGGCAGATAGGTAGTAGCTCAAGGGAGATTTGAGCAGATTCGCGGATATTGATGGCGGCAAGCTCCTTGCTGTAGCGCCAGATCAATGCTTTAAGGACATGGTACAGAGATGATGGATAATCAGGGTGGCCCTGCGGACGAATGCAAGAGCGTCGCGAAATAGACAGGTAGTAGAGTCGATGTCTTGGAGCTCGTTGCAAATGTACCCTTGAAAGCGTGCGCACGCGAGGTTGGTCAGGGTGGCCGACCGGACACCGCTCTAAAACCAACGCAACATGTTCCACGGCATCATTCAGGTCAGAGACCGGCTTGCTAGTCACGTGTGCTGCAAATCTTGTGTGACCCGCATCCGTTTCTCGAGCGATCTCGCAGTCAATGAGGACTAATAAAGTTTGCGATCTGTCAGGAGAAGTGACAGTGCTGCAAGGTGGCGTCACTCACAGTCAACAGTGCA